ATGGGGGGCCCTCCATGATTGTGCTTTGCCAATGTATCACTCACACACCGATGCCCGGTACCAGTGGAGCATTGCATGTGCAACTCTGTGGCCAGTTAAAGGAGTGGCCATCCAATGGGATGGGCAGACGTGGGAGATAATTGGAGGTCACACATGGTGTGTTTGTGCAACCGTGTGCATGCATGGTGAGAAGGCAACAAAATAAAATTACTCAGTGGCTGCAGTCAGACCTACTTTGGGAGCTGGCCATGTGGACAGCAGCGTTACAACCTGCTTTTGGAAAAAGCAGGATCGAGCCGCTTTTTCCTGCCCATCCACTCTAGCTCATAGTAAGAGGATAATGAGGGCATACTTTGATGCTATTCAGTTTTCAAAATGGATTAATGAATTTAAGTTATTTAAAATCTGTCTGTAGTTTCCAACAGAACCTTGAAATACTAAGCATTTGTATTCTATCTTAGAGACAAGATTAGAAGAAGACATTTAAAATTAATTTCTAAACAGAGCTTCCGCAATGCCTATAATTCTATAAACATTTCAAAGACAGGAGAGAAATCCCTGCTACCTGATACATGGGAGGAACAGCATGATAAAGAGGGAAAAGCTAAATGTAAACAGGGGCAGAGGTGGGGAGATGAAGTGATGGGAGAGAAAAAAACAGTGATAAAGTAAAAAGTGGTGTTGGGGAGAATGAGCAGGGGAACTATAGGAATTTCTAATCCAGGTGATGCTGGCCCTTCCATAAATTGCATAACAAACATATATTGCAAAATATAGTAAAACTAGAGCCTGCGTGGTCTAGTGGTATGAGTTTTGGATTATGAATCTGGAGACCAGGGTTCAAATCCACGCTCAGCCATGGAAACTCATTGGGTGACCTTGGGCAAGTCATACTCTCTCAGCCTCAGAGGAAGGCAAGGACAAACCCCTTCTGAACAAATAGTGCCATGAAAACTTTGTTGACATAAGTCAGAAATGACATGAAGGCACACAGTAACAACAATTTTTTCACTGAACCTTTAAATATACAATATGTTATAAATTGCATTTTAACACAATATATCCCTGTTTCCTCTTGAGCTGTTTTATCTCTAATCAGCATTGTAAAAGAATCAATTCCCCCCAGACACAATTTTTGTACTTACTCAAAAGAAAAGCCATCAAGCCTGAAAAAGAGAAAATGTATAACATATTCTGAATGCTAAGACTTGTTGGCTGTCTTCACATTTTCCACCATGCACTCATTTAAATTAATGCCATTAGATAATTGCAATCCTGCAATCTAAGAAAACAGCAAGCAATAGCAATAGCAAGTACATTTCTATACCACTTATCAGTGTACTTAAGCACTCCCTAAGCAGTTTACAATGTGTAAGCCAATTGCACCCCATCAAGCTGGGTACTCATTTTAGCGACCTCAGAAGGATGCAAGCTTGAGTTGAGCTTAAGACCCTGACTGGTATTGAACTCACAACCTTTGGGTTTGTCAGCAAGTGGCTTACAGGCATTTAACCACCAGGGTTCCTCCACTGCATAAGAAAATATTCTTATTAATACAACCCCAGCTGTCTACCTATTAAGCCTATAGGATGCATGTGTCTGCCTACTTAAGTTTGCTGCTTTCAGATATTTCTTTTTAAAGTATACACCCCTCCCTTAAAAAACAGCAACATATGATTGAAGTGTCCCTCAAAGACCTATGGACTTGAAGTAATGTCTCCAGTTAAAAAGCACGACTCAGTTTGATGCCGTTTGATAATGAATAAAGCTATGAATCATCATCATATCTTATCCACCTATTCCCATGGATCGATGCGGGGAACAACAGACCAATAAATACACAACATCAGTTAAAAACACACATAAATTTTTATTCCATTTTGATGCATTTTTATTCCATTTCTCTCCCTCCTTCCCATACCATTCAAAGTTACAAAGCTCAACTTGATTCAGAAAAGAGTAATTTGTTATTTAGCAAGGTTTAATAGACCACTGTGGACAACTTCTGCAGACAGAGCAAAACTTAATATTTTTTCTACTTTTACTGGGAATAAAGTATAAATCTCTAAAGAAAAGAGCCTTATGAAGAAAATGTACTGCTAAAAGGAAATGTTAATTGAAAATAGGCTTACTGGTAATCAGTGGAACTTCCTTTCCTTTTCCTATTACAATCCATTCCCGAAGGGTTAAGAGAACTAGAGATTAGATCAGTGGAACCTGGTGACATAAAATCACTGATTGTAGAAGAAATATCCATCCTTTGGTCAGCCATTGGATAGTCTAGGATTACCATAAAATGCAAGGTTAGTCTACATAACAGAAACAGTTAATGTATACATTCATGTATAAGTCTAGAAATTTAGGTTAAAAATTGGCCCAAAAAACCTGAGTCAACTTAACCACGGGTCAATATAAGTACTGCATTTTAACATGTATATATAGCCAACCCCCTTCTACTCTCTCATCCATTCAGCCTTTAGTATCAGCACAAACACTTATGCCTGGTGGAATTTTGTAAGTTTTTCGGCATTGTTTCTTTTGCTTCGTCCTTTTCATCCTTCATTACATGCCCCCAAATTTTACCCTTGACTTATCTACAGGTCATATCAAAATCCTTAATTTTGCCCCCAAACCTGCCCTCGACATATATTTAACTTGTTGTCAAGAATATATGGTAACTAATTTATATTGATACATAATCCCTTCTATTCCTAAAGCTCGACCTGTCTTAAGGCCATTTCTTATTTCATCCCACAGCAGTCCTATGTGTTTTCTGAGTGAGGGGATGGAGCAGGGGTAGGCAACCTAAGGCCCGGGGGCTGGATGTGGCCCCCTGAGACCTTTGGACCGGCCCCAGGCTGGTCCTGCTGCCACCGCCGCCACCCCCCATGATGATATTATTGTTATTACTTGTTCTTTGGGTTTTCTTGGCAAAATCTCCACAGGGGTTTTGTCATGGCTTTTCTGGGGCTGAGAGAGTGTGCATGCATGTTTTTAATTTTTTTAATTTTTTTATTTTTATATTTATTTATTTATTTTTGGTGCTTCGGCCCCACAATTGTCTGAGGGACAGCAACCCGGCCCCCAGCTCAAAAAGGTTGCCTACCCCTGGGATAGAGGAAACCACAATTACTGAATTCTGATTGGTGGAGGAGATAAGAAATGCCAGGCTATGTTAGAATGCAAAGCAGCTTCATTTATATACCACTTCATATCACGCTATGGGATGTCTAAGCGGTTTACAACTGTAAGCTTATTGCCCCCCCCCCCGCCAACAGTTGGGTACTTATTTTAGTGACCTCAGAAGGATGCAGGCCTGAGTGTAGCCTGAGCCCTGGCTAGTATTGAACTTGCAACCTTGTGGTCTATGAGTGAGTGGCTGCAGTACAGGCATTTAACTACTGTGCCACAAGAATGGAGGTCAGGTGCTCCTGGGAAGCTCAGAGATGAGACATGATGGAGACACTCATGCCTTCACAGCTGCCAGGAGATGTTAATCAAAAATATTTAGTCACTGTCCATGGGCATTTCATTAAAATGAATTGCTGCTGATGAACTGATTGTATTCCCCATCACCATGTACTGATGAACTTCATCGTCTTTAAAAGATCCACTGTAAAATTCATCACTGACAAGCAATAGTTGTTTGCCCAAGGCCACTTATACATTGTCCTGCCAAACATAGGAGTCATGCACAACTCTCATAAGCTCAAGTCAAACACTTTGCCACTTGAACCATAGCATAACATTGTACATTTATGCAACAAGAACAGTAAATGTGGTGATTGTTATTTTTTGTTAGTACTTAAGATGCTGCAGAACTCTGTTCACTATGGTGATGGTTTGAAAAGGAATTTTTTTACCATGTTAAAGTAAAGATGTAAAGACAAAACTGCTTTTGAAAAACAAACTGGCATTCAGTTTCCTGGTTATGTATGAAATATGCCAGAGCTGAAGCAGCACAGTATACTGTCATTCTTAACATCCTGTTTCATTTGAGAAGATGATGAAGGAGCTATATGTAAATATAAACTTATATGGAAAAGAGAGAAGGGTTGGAAGCAAACAGAAACAATTCTTTAATAAAAAAGAGAATTACATTTGCTTTGAAAGGGGGAAAGGGGGAACAATACAATTAATTTTAATTATGGTGTTGCATAACATGTTTTTAGATTTCTACAAATAAAAGCAACCCACTTGAATGTCTCTCTTCATGGAACAGAATAAGGATAGGCAGCAAATCAACACAAAAGCATTTAAACCCCAGCGGCTGTTCTTACCTGTAAGCTTGATACTGGGAACTCTAAATCCACTCCACTATGGTGTGTGCTCCGCCTACTGGCTGCTGCCAATGCCAAAGCAGCCAATTACCTTAACCCTTGCTTCATTTCCTCCAGTATTGTTACACAGAAGCTTTCAAAGGCCTGGGTGGTAAGAAAACAAATATACTGTCAGCTTCTTTTTCTCTTTGACGAAAACAAAAAAGTTGCCTTTCTATGCAGAAACTAAGATGTAAAGAAATCTTCTTGACAAATTCATTGTAACTTAGGCAGCCATCAAGAATTTGATAATCCAGTCATGAGAATGAATGATCACTTTTTTCCATGATAAGTTCCATATTTTACCAAAACAATACCACTCAAATAGTGGGCCACGTACTAGTGCCTGTCCCAGGAAGCTTCCAGGAAAGAAACATTTGTAGTCAGTGGACATAAATATAGTGCCAGTCCATGGTAGTATGGGGGGGGGGGGATTGCTGGTCATCAGATAGCTTAAGAACCAATGGCCCAAATATCATGGGGCAAAACTACTATCTTTTCCCTTTGGTATGCTCAACACACTTTCACACAGCCATCACCAAAGGAGTGGAAGAGTGATCAAAAATGCAAACAACTTATCCAATGCTTTTATTGGGTGCTATGCTATGCTATTCTAGTTTTGTGCTATTCAGAAAAATTGGCCTCACAAATTCTCACTGAGACTGTTAAAAAAACCTACTATCATGCAGACGAGGAAAAAATAATTTTTGTGTCCTTTCATATGAGAACTAAACAAGTGATATTCCCCTAGTATGTGCAACAAATTGCACTGTTCAGTTCACAGAAACAATTATTTAATAAAAAAGAGAATTGTGGCATTTAAATTGTGTTAAATGCCACAATTTAATTTCTTAGAACATATATCACTTCTTCAGCTCATTTTTATTAGAATCAGTTAAGAGAGAAAAAATGTTTAACTACTACCTGGGCCAACATGGTATAGCAGTTTGAGTACTGGACTAGGAGACCAGGGTTCAAATGCCCACTCAGCCATGGGAAACTATTGGTTGAACCTGGGCAAGTCCCACTCTCTCAGCCTCATAAAAAGGCAATGGCAAACCTCCTCTGTATAAACCTCTGGATAAATCTTGTCAAGAAAATCCTACGAGAGAATGAGAATCCACTTGAAGGTATATACAAAGTATCTGGACCAGGGCTGTGGAGTCAGTACACGAAACCTTCAGCTATGACTATGGGGGGATGCAGACCAGGGCGTTTGGAGCGCCTTGGTCCGGAGCGCTGCGGGGCCATGGCAGCCACACCGCGGCGCTCCTGGAGCGACCCTGAAAGGAGCGCCAAATTGGCGCTCCTTTCATAAGTCAGAAAAAGTGCGCCCTAAAAGCAGCGGGCGCACTTTCTCTGACTTATCCTCCGCAGCGCGTCCGGTCGCTGCGGAGGGAGGTCGCTCTGAACGCGCCGGCCGTCTGGTGGCCCGGAAGCGCTCAGGGCGACCTCAGGAAGAGGAAGGAGTGCCGCGCGTGCGGTGGCTCCTCCTCTTCCGGGCCTCCAAGACAACTGTTTTAGTCGTCTGCTTAGGCCC